AAGAAAACAATCTTATTTGTAATAGCATCAAAAATAGTAAACTATTTAGGAATAAGTTTAACCAAGGAGTTGGAAGATTTGTATACTGAAAATCACAAGGTTTGATGAAAGAAATTGAAGACATAAATAAGTGAAAAAATATCCTGTGTTCATGAATTGGAAGATTTAATATTGTTAAAATATTCATACTACCTAAAGCCATCTATAGATTCAGTACAAACTCTACCAAATTTCCAATGGCATTTTTCATAGAAATAGAAAAATTTATATGGAACCACGAAAGACCAAAAGTAGCCATAGCAATCCTGAGAAAGGAGAACAAACCTGGAGGCATCACATGTTCTGATTTGAAACTTTATTTCAAAGCTATAATAATCAAAATAGTGTGGTACTGGCATAAAGACAGACACACAGACCAATGGAACAGAATTGAGAGTCCAGGAATAAACACATGTGTATACAGTCAACTAATATTTGACAAGGGAGCCAAGTATACTCAATGGGAAAAGTATAGTCTTCAATAAATGGTGCTGGGAAAACTGGTTATTTGCATACAAAAGAGTGAAATTAGATCCCTATCTTATACCAGTCACAAAGACTATCAAAATGGATTAAAGATTTAAGTGTAAGGCCCAAAACTGTGATACTCCTAGACGAAAACATAGCTGAAAAACTCCTTGACACTGGTGTTGGTAATGGTTTTTTGAATATGACATCAATAGCACAAAAAACAAAAATAAAGAAGTGGGGCTACATCAAACTAAAAATCTTCTGCACAGCAAAAGAAACAATTGAAAAGGTGACCTACTGAATTGGAGAAAGTATTTGCAAACCATCTGATAAAGGGTTAACATCCAAAATATATAAGAAACTCATGCAACCTGCACCCCAATGTTCATTGCAGCACTATTTACAATAGCTCAGATATGGAAGCAACCTAAACGTTTATTGACAGGGGAAAGGATAAAGAAGATGTGGTACATATATACAATGGAATATTACTCAGCCCTAAAAAAGAATGAAATCATTCCATTTGCAGCAGCATGGATGGACCAAAGATTGTCATACTGAGTAAAGTATGAAGTAAGAAAGTCACAGAAGAACAAATGTCGTATGATATCACTTATATGTAGAATCTTAAAAAAATGGTACAAACGAACTAATTTACAAAACAAATAGAGTCACAGAAGTAGAAAACAATCTTATGGTTACCGGGAGGAAAGGGGGGAGGGTTAAACTGGGAAATTGGGATTGACATATACACAACACTATATATAAAACAGATAACTAATAAGGACCTACTGTATAGCACAGGGAACTCTACTCAATACTATGTAATGACCTACATGGGTAAAGAATCTAATAAAGAGTAAATATCTGTATACATATAACTGATTCACTTTGCTTTACAGCAGAAAGTAACACAACATTGTAAATCAACTATACTTCAGTTTAAAAATATATATGGAACTCATGCAACTTAATAGAAAGAAATATGATTTAAAAATGGGCAGAGGACATGAATAGACATTTTTCCCAAAGAAGACATAAATGACCAACATGTCCATGACTTATTAGCTCCATGAACTTGGATGTCAAAATCTCTTTCCAGATTTGGGAAATTCTCAGCCATTATTTCTTTTTGTTTTTTGTGGTTTTTTTAGAACTTACTTTTTTTTTTTAACATCTTTATTAGAGTATAATTGCTTTACAGTGGTGTGTTAGTTTCTGCTTTATAACAAAGTGAATCAGCTATACATATAAATATATCCCCATTACTCCTTCTTCTTGTGTTTCCCTCCCACCCTCCCTATCCCACCCCTCTAGGTGGACACAGAGCACCAGGTTGATCTCCCTCTTCTATGCAGCTGCTTCCCACTAGCTATCTATTTTACATTTGGTAGTGTATATATGTCCATGCCACTCTCTCACTTTGTCACAGCTTACCCTTCTCCCTCCCTGTGTCCTCAAGTCCATTCTCTACATCCGTGTCTTTATTCCTGTCCTGCCCCTAGGTTCTTCGGAAGCTTTTTTTTTTTTTTTAGATTCCATATATATGTGTTAGCATACAGTATTTATTTTTCTCTTTCTGACTTACTTCACTCTGTATGACAGACTCTAGGTCCATCTACCTCACTACAAATAACTCAATTTCTTTTCTTTTTATGGCTGAGTAATATTCTATTGCATATATGTGCCACATCTTCTTTATCCATTCATCTGTCAATGGACACTTAGGTTGCTTCCATGTCCTGGCTACTGTAAATAGAGCTGCAATGAACATTGTGGTACATGACTCTTTGAATTATGGTTTTCTCAGGGTATATGCCCAGTAGTGGGATTGCTGGCTCATATGGTAGTTCTATTTGTAGTTTTTTAAGGAACTTCCATGCTGTTCTCCATAGTGACTGTATCAATTCACATTCCCACCAACACTGCAAGAGGGTTCCCTTTTCTCCACACCCTCTCCAGCATTTATTGTTTCTAGATTTTTTGAAGATGGTCATTCTGATCTGTGTCAGGTGATACCTCATTGTAGTCTTGATCTGCATTTCTCTAATGATTAGTGATGTTGAACATTCTCACATGTGTTTTTTGGCAATCTGTATATCTTCTTTGGAGAAATGTCTATTTAGGTCTTCTGCCCAGTTTTTTGGATTGAGTTGTTTGTTTTTTTGACATTGAGCTGCATGAGCTGCTTGTAAATTTTGGAGATTAATCCTTTGTCAGTTGCTTCATTTGCAAACATTTTCTCCCATTCTGAGGGTTGTCTTTTTGTCTTGCTTATGGTTTCCTTTGCCGTGCAAAATCTTTTAAGTTTCATTAGGTCCCATTTGTTTATTTTTGTTTTTATTTCCATTTCTCTAGGAGGTGAGTCAAAAAGGATTTTGCTCAGCCATTATTTCTTTAAGTAAGCTTTTTGCTCCTTTTTCCTCCTCTTCTCCTTCTGGGTCTCCAAACATGTGTAGATTGTTTATTTTAATGTTAACCCATAATTCACATAGGCTTTCTTTGCTCTTTTTCATTGTTTTTTCTTCTCTAAGAGAATGATTCAAAGGACCTGTCTTCTAGTTCACTAATTCTTCTGTTTGGTTGAGTCTATTGTTGAAGCTCTCTATGGACTCTTTCAGTTTAGTTACTGTATTCTGCAACATAGGATTTCTGTTCTGGGTTTTTCTGTGTGTTTTTTTTTTTAATGGTTTCTATTTCTTTGTTGAACTTTTCATTTTGTTCATGCCCTGCTTTCCTAATTTTATTTAGTTGTCTCTCTGTGTTTTCTTAGAGTTCACTGAATTTCAGAAGATTATTCTGAATTCTTTGTCAAACACTTTGTAAATCTCCATTTCTTTAGCATCAGCCTTTGGAGCTTTATTAGTTTCCTTTGATGGTGTCATGTTTCCTTGATTATTCATGATCCTTGTGGCCTTGAATTGGTGTCTGCACATTTGAGGAAGTAGGCACCTCTTCCAGTCTTTAAAGACTAGCTTCAGCAGGCAAAGCCCTTTACCAGTCAGCCCATCAGAGATCCAGAGATCCTGAGTGGGCTTACTTCTTGAGTCCTTGTACTGGCAAGTATGGTGCCTGGGTCAGCAGACTGGCAGGCCTGGTGCTTGGGTTCATTTGTGCCTGGGTCCATGGGTTGGGCCCAGAGCCTGTGTTCACTTGGGTGGGTCTGATGCATAAGTCTGTGGTGGGGAGCCTGGGATCTGTGTCCAAATGGGAAGACCTGTCTTCTAGGACCACAGGGGTCAACCAAGGCTACCAAGGCTAGTCAACCAAGGCTAGTCTCATAATTTGCCTGCAGATTCCTTTGGATTTTCTACATCAGCAGTAATGTGATCTAAACCAAGGCTACCAAGGTACCAGTGAGATGAGCCTGACATCTAGGTCTAAAGGGGCCAGTCAGGTGTTGGAATGGGCCAGGAACCTGGTTTTGTGGGAGCCAGCCTGGAGGCTGTGGACATGGGGATTGGCCTGGACCTAGGGTGATCCTGGAGCCTGAGGCCACAGCTGCTGGTCTGAAGGTTGGGTCTGAGGGAAGTCATCTGGCACTACTAGGAGGGCAGACTAGGAGCCTGGGTCTGTAAGAGATTATCTAAAGTCTAGGTCTGCAGGGGCCAGCCTGGCACTGGGACAGGCTGGCAGCTTGGGGTGTGGTAGCATGGGCCCAGCTGGAGTCTGGGTTCATAGAAGCGTAGATTCATGGGAGCTGGTTGGGAGCTGGGGCCACAAGAGTCATGATCTAAGGGAGCTGGCTTGCTCTGGGGTGGTCCAGGAGGCTTGGTTCACTGGAGTCCACCAGGAGCCTGCTGTCACAGAAGCTGCCTGGAGCCACTGGAGTTGTTCAAATTGATGTTTCTAGGAGGGGACAGGCACTAAAAAATCCTACACCGCCATCTTGCTCATTTTACTCCTGTCTCTTCTAAGACTGAATTTTTCTACACACTTGCTAATCACAATATCTGTGTGTTCTTTCTGTGAGTTTTTACTAACTGTAACTGCATTCATTTGCCCAATTTAGCTGTGGAGTCAATACTGACTACTTACATGAGATCAGAGCTGGCCACAGCTTGTCAGGGGCACATGGTAGCAAGTTATTCCAGTGTGCTTTCTAGTCTTAGTATCAATTTGATGTGATTTTCATCTTAATGTGCTAACACAGTCTACCTTCTTTACATCAAAATATAGCATTTTATATAAAAATCACCCTTAATTTCCACAAAATGGCTCCCAGAGTGATTTTTAAATCTGTTTATACTAATTTGCACAGCTGCTAAGTAATTGAAATATGTTGAGATTCTACCAATTCCCCCCCTTCTTTTTTTGAAAAATATTTACATTACAATCAGCCTTCCATATCCATGTTTCTAGAACCCACAGATACAGAGGGTGATTGTAAAGGACTTGAGCATCCAGGGTATCTTGGTGTGGAGTGAGCAGTCCTAGACTCAATCTCCCATGGATACCAAGGGACTACTGTATATCATTATAATGTCAGAACTTACAATTGGTGTCATGAGCTCTGTGAAAACAGAGACTAGGTGTAACAGACATCTCCATGTTTGTCAACTTACACACACCCTCCATCTCCCACCTACCTCCCCCATCCCTCTTACCTAAGCCTGGCACATGGCACACATATCTGTGCCAACAGATAACAGCAAAGAGTCAGGGAATCAGAGATGAGGTATCAGTTAGGAGTGCTATAACCTATCTGAATGAGTCAAGTGGCTTTTCTGCAGTGGGGAGGGAGCTGGAACATCATCGCAGAGGACAGAGGGCAAGTGCAGATGCACAGCAGGCATACGGCTCGCCAGCATTCCTCACATAAAGACTGGGACTAGGGGACTTCCCTGATGGTCCAGCAGTTAAGACTTTGCCTTCCAATGCAGGGGGTGCGGGTTTGATCCCTGGTCAGGGAGCTAAGATTCCATATGCCTCCCAGCCAAAAAACTAAAACATAAAAACAGAAGCAATATTGTAACAAATTCAATAAAGACTTTTAAAAAAAAAGACTGGGACTTCATCTGTTTATGCTTACAGCCCAAGGTCTGGCTCTTTATAACTGATTAGAAGCTATTTTAAATGAATTATAATTAAAATAATAGCTAATATTTACTGAGGACTTACTAGGAGGTAATCTTGAACTATGTCAAGATTAGTAAACAAGTGTTAACCTGTGAGCCAAGTTAGAAAAATATCTTGTATACGATATGGTTGTTTGCTGGAGTCCTGTTCACTCCTTTATTAGCTCTCATAATTTGCCTGCAGATTCCTTTGGATATTCTACATCAGCAGTAATGTGATCTAAAAACATGATAATTTGTGTCTCCTTTTCTAATCCACATACATTTTTATTTTTCTTGTCTCATTGCTTTGGCCAAGACACCAGTTAATTAATAGATAGTAGCAGTAACTGGAGAAATTCTTGCCTTATTCCTGACTTTGATAGTATTGCTTCTAAAGGCTCACTACCTAAATATGATGTTTGCTGTAGTTTTCTAGAAGTTTTTGCAGTTATGAGTGAGTACTGAATTTTACCAAGTTTTTATTAAATCTTCTGAGATTTTACCAATTAACAAGAAGTCATTTTTAAAGATTCCACCATTATTTCCATGAGAGAAAGATAGATAGATAGATAGATAGATTAGAAAGGCTATAAAAACACATGATCAGACTACTCATTCCAGAGAAAATGAAGTGGGCACATTTTTCTCTACTTTTCCAAGAATCCTGGACATTATATATAAAACACAAACACAAGAAGATTCTAAAAGGTGGAGAGAAGAAGTACTGGATAGGGACCTCAAGATTCAAGGAATGACATGGTGGTTAGTTCCCTGGGTTTCCTTTTTGTCATGTATATACCTTGGGCTGTGTGTTAAACAAGTCTGTAACCCAGAAATGCCAATCCCAAGAGAACTCTTCTCTCTCTTGGCAAAGGATGAGAAAAGAGATGGCCTAGCAAGATAGAAGCCTTTAGGCAATAATCACCCTATTCTGGCCAAATGCCACTGGAAAAATGTGGGACCCCACACCATCAGCAAGGCCAAGAGGAAGGCCTAGACCTCCATCTCTCTTGGCAGTAAGGAGGAATCCCTCCTCTTCCCAACTGAGGTGACATCAGAAGAGGCTGAGTGGGAAGACTGAACTTCCATTCCCACCCTGAAGTAATGAGGCACTACTTCCCTCTCTTGCTTGGGATGTTATTGAGCAAGGACAAGGGAAAATTTGGATTTTCACAACCACCCAGTGGTAATAATATCACCTACCCTACCGCCACAGTGTCAAAAATCACTCATCATACCAAAAACCAGGAAAATATCAACTTGAATGAAGAAAAGGCAATCAATAGGCACCAAAACCAAGATGACAGATGTTGGAATTATCTGACAAGGATTTTAAAGCAGCCATCATAAAAATGCTTCAACAAGTAATTATAAAACCCTGGAAATGAAAAAAAAGACAAAACCACTAGAAAGTCTCAGCAAAAGAACAGAATATATGAAGAAGAAACAAAGGGAAGTTTTAGAAGTGAATAATGCAGTAAATGAAATTTAAAAGTCACTTGATGGGCTTAATAGCAAAACGGAGATTATAAAGGAAAGAATCAGTGTACTTGAAGATAGAAAATGCCCAACCTGAACAACAGAAAGAAAATAGACTGAAAAAAATTAACAAGAGACTCAGAGCTCTATGGGGGCAATAATAGAAGATCTAACATTCTTGTTATCAAAGTCTCAGAATGAGAGGAGAAAAAATAAGAATGCTGGGCTAAAAAAAGAAAAACTATTCAAAAAGTATTGAAATTTCTCCAAACTTGGCAAAAAGCATGAATCTACAGATTCAAGAAACTGAATGAACCCCAAAGAAACTCAAAGAAATACATACCAAGACACATAATCAGCCAGCTGAAAACTAACAAAAAAGAAAAAAAAAATCTTCATAACAGAGAGAAACTACACATTAACTACAAGGGAAAACAATTTAAATGACTGCTGATTTCTCATCAGAAACCAATGTGGGCAAGAGGAGTAGCATAACATTTTTCAAGTGCTGAAAGAGAAGAACTGTCAATCTAGAATTCTATACCCAGGGTCGGCAAGATTAAGTGCCTTACAAAAGGTGGTAAAAAGGGAGCCAAGAAGAAAGTGGTTGACCCATTTTCTAAGAAAGATTGGTATGATGTGAAAGCACCAGCTATGTTCAATGTAAGAAATATTGGGAAAACACTAGTCACGAGAACTCAAGGAACCAAAATCTCATCTGATGGCCTCAAGGGTCATATTTTTGAAGTGAGCCTTGCTGATCTGCAGAATGGTGAAGTTGTATTTAGAAAATTCATGCTAATTACTGAGGATGTTCAGGGCAAAAACTGCCTGACTAATTTCCATTGCATGGATCTGACCCATGATAAAATGTGCTCCATGGTCAAAAAATGTCAGACCATGATTGAAGGTCACACTGATGTCAAGACTACCTATGGTTATTTGCTTTGTCTATTCTGTACGGGTTTTACTAAAAAACGCAACAATCAGATTCGGAAGACCTCTTATGCCCGACACCAGCAGGTCCTCCAGATCCGCAAGAAGATGATGAAAATCATGACCCAAGAGGTGTAGACAAATGACTGGAAACAGGGTAAATAAATTCATTCCAGGCAGCATTGGGAAAGACAGAAAATGTCTTCCAATCTATTTATCCACTCCATGATGCCTTTGTTAGAAAAGTAAAAATGCTGAAGAAGCCCAAGTTTGAATTGGGAAAACTCATGGAGCTACATAGTGAAGGTAGTAGTTCTGGAAAAGCTACTGGGGATGCAGCAGGTGCTAAAGTTGAATGAACTGATGGATATGAGCCACCAGTCCAATCTGTTTAAAAATCAGACTTCTAATGGTGACAAATAAAAGATCCTATTTGTGAAAAAAAATAGAATTCTATGCCCAGGAAATGAAGGTGAAATCAAGACATCCTCACTGTGAAGGAAAACTAAAAGTATTTGTCACCATCAGACCTACCCTAAAAGAATGGCTAAAGGAATATCTTGAAACAGAAAGAAAAAAGAAGGAAACTTGGAACATCAGGAATAAAGAAAGAGCAATGGAAAGAGTAAAAATATGGGTTAAATATCATGGACTATCCTTCTCCCTTCTCCTCATTTCTTTCTTTTTATTGGCTGCACCAGGTGGCTTGCAGGATTTTAGTTCCCCCACCAGGGATTTAACCCAGGCCCTGGAAGTGAAAGTACTGAGTCCTAATCACTTGACCGCCAGGGAATTCCCTATCCTTCTCCTCTTGAGTTTTCTAAATTATATTTGACGAAGCAAAAATTATAACATTACCTGATATGGTTCTCAATATGTGGAGAAGATATAGTTAAGATAAGTTATTAAGGAGCGATGGTAAAGGAATCTTGTAAGGGTAATGTTTCTACATGCTAGTTGAACTGGTAAAAAGCCAACATCAGTAAACCATAAGTTACGTATGTTTAATGTAATGCCTTGAGCAGCCATTTAAAAATCTATTCAAAGAGATATACTCAAGATATACTATAGTAAATCAAAATGGAATTATTAAAAAAATATTCAAATAACCTACAGAATGGCCAGGAAAGTAAAACAGAGGAATAAAAAACAGAAGAAACAAGAAGAAAATAAACAATAAAATGGCAGACTTAAGTCATAATATATCAATAATTACATTATATAAATCAATGGAACAGAATAGGTAGCCCAGAATATACCCACACAAGTATAGTCAACTGCTTTTTGACAGAGGTATAAAAGCAATTCAAAATAGACAACTAGTGAAAACATACTGTATAGCACAGGGAATTTTACTTAATGCACTGTGGTAACCTGAATGGGAAGGAAATCCAAAAAAGAGGGAATATATGTATATGTATAGCTAATTCATTTTGCTGTACAGTAGGAACTAACACAACATTGTAAAGCAACTATACTCCAATAAAAATTAATTTTAAAATAAAAAGCAATTCAATATAGAAAGGACAGTCTTTTCAACAAATGGTGCTGGAACAATTGGACAACCATATATTATGGATATAAGCCTCTTGTGGAATAAATGTATTACAAATATGTTCTCCCACTACGTGGTTTGCCTTTTTACTATTATAATGGTTACTTTTGATTAAAAGAACTTCTTAATTTTGCTGTACTATACTCTAAGCCTTCATTTTCTCATCTGTAAACTAGGCATTATGGTAGTATTTCACTCACAGGGTTGTTATGAGGAATAAATAAAAGAATGCAGGTACTCCTGGTACTTAGCAAAGCTCAAAAGATATTATTATTATCCCCAGTGCCACCCTTTTTTCTCTGTATAACCTTTTATTTCCTTCCAGGTTCTCTATTATGAATCTCTGAAAGGTCACATGTGTAACAGAAAATGCTGGCCATATGGAGAAAATTGAGATGACTCATTTTCAATCTCATGACCCCACCTACTTAAAATCCCAGCAGGGGAAAAGATATAAGAGGGTGACTACAAAAGGGAAGTGGGTTCATTTTAGTGACTGACATCCAAAGAGCAATATGCTTTCTTCCACAGCATGCTTCACCTTCATCTTTCTCCTCTGCCAGCTCACAGGTGAGTCCAGCAAGATCTTCCTGTTTTCTGGACTGCCTACCCCATCCTGCTTGTAGCTCCAGGCTTCTGGCTCCACTCTGGGCCTCTGGCTCAACTTAGGAGGCTCTGCTCCCTCATCTAATATTGCTTTTTCTTTTAAAAAAAAAACATCTTTATTGGAGTATAATTGCTTTACAATGGTGTGTTAGTTTCTACTTTATTAACAAAGTGAATCAGTTATACATATACATATGTTCCCATATCTCTTCCCTCTTGCGTCTCCCTCCCTCCCACCCTCCCTATCCCACCCCTCTAGGTTGTCACAAAGCCATGATCTCCCTGTGCTATGCGGCTGCTTCCCACTA